GGATAACAGAGAGTTTCGAATTGAACAACTTGGGGCCAGGTTTTCTTTTCGTTTTCACACTATTACGGATATGAAAATAATGAAAAAATTGGATGAGATTAACTGCATTTAATATAAGTTCAAGACACATAAGAGCCCTTTAGCTATTGTTCTTGAGAAATGACTTGTTCCACTTATTCCACTTATTGAAGAGGGTACTATGGTCGGTCCGTGAAAGTAAGACACTCCAAATTCAGGAGTCAAAAAWTTTTATAAAACGTTCTTGGTGGGAAAAAACGTGAATGAAAGATCCTAATTAAATTGGGTAATAATTCAAATTAAGAACGGAAGCTCGGACGAAACCAAGTAATAACCCTTCATGTGCGATAGAATGCGTAATTATTTGTATCAATGATTTGGCCAAGTTTTTTTTAGCATCTAATAGAAATAAAAAAAGAATTCAGTATTATATTAAGTGCCTATACATGTATTAGTTAAAAAATTGGAGAAKAAAATATGTGAACAGTTATTTGGTCGTTCGTTTTATAGTATAACGTTATTGTCTCTCTAAGTTTGTTTAGTATCAACGTCTAAAACTAAAGAAAACTTCGATATATTATTTATAGCCACTCTTTTTWAATTATTCATCGCATAAATTCCATTTTTATATTATAATATAGTAGATTTTTATTATTAACTAATAAATTTGTCAACCATATGAGACGGCCCARCTTATATCTAAGTTTTTAAATTTTCAAAAATATTATTATTTTCATACACTATTATCTCTATATTAATTGATATTAAGTGGATGGATCTAAGTATTCACCCATCTTTAAAACAAGAATAAGATTCAACTATGAAAAACATGGCTTTTGATTCTAATAGTGATGATCTTAATGATGATGAAATTCATTAATAGGAGTCAGGAGGTGACATGGAAAGTTGGAAACCTAACTAATTTATATGATTTACATAAAGTGTTTTTTTTTTATAAATAATTAATATTATCTTTAAATGATRTCCATCTATATATTAAAAGTACATGTTTTTAAGAGTGAAACAAATTAAAGATGTTATGTAAAAATGATATGATCGATTTAGAAATAATCATTCATTGAATTTGTGTATGAATACCCAGAAGTAATGAACATAAAGACCCTATTGTTCCGGTAGAGAGAGGAAGCGGGCTACTCCTAAAAAAGCTCCGCCCCTAATTTCATTTGCCGTTGGGGCTAATTAATTTTATACAAACGATTAATATTTCTTAAATTCAATGTCATTTATGATACTAAAAACAATATATGGAAAGCGCCGCTAATGACATATTTTATACCAGACC